GCTTAAAGTGGTCAAGCAAAAAGTTTTCTATGAGCTTATTAAGTTCTCAACTTTTAAAGTACTTGCCGAAAACCCACGCTAACTCAAGTGAGTTAGACAGCACTTTATTGATATTACCCGTCTTCATATCTACTGTGCAGATCCCAACACTACTTGCAGACGATATGTTTCCTCGCGTCCATCAGACGAGAAGATCTTTCAACATTCACGTGTCGCTTCGGATACTGCTTAAGGATTTTCATTTTATTATGGATGTCGTAGAATGCTGGTCGAGTCATTTCTCCCTTGAGTTCTGGGATAGCCGGGCTAGAGCCTTACCACTTAGATTGCAGAAAACGGACTTTTACCGGATAAGTTCAGTGCTAACTCTCCTACCCCGGACGTATGAAAAGCTTGACCATTCCTGGGCGGCATCGCACCAGCACCGTGCTCGTGTAATGATCGGCATCACTACCACCGTGCTATCTGCCCCAAAGATTCCTTCTCAAATCTATAAAGGATGTGCAGTAAGAAAAAACCAGAAGTTTACAGAGCAACTGTACTCTATTCAAAATATCTGTCCATTTTATGCCCACTGGAGAATTCCAGGACGGAATAGGATGTAGCCACTACATCGGAATTCTGTACTACCAACAGCGAGGGTTGCAACCTTCGCGATCGACTTCAACTTCCTAACTCACTTCAGCAATTTCCAAGACCGATTTTCTATTAACCTGAGCAATGTTCAATAAGTTAATGTTTTCTTCTTGACCAAACACGAGGTTGTTAATAGCAAGATTTATTCAATAGTGGCTGACGTCTAGACGCCTTCGCTTAATTCAAAGTCTGGAAAGGTTAAAGTGACAGACGCTCTACTCAACTAAAGACTTTCAAAAACCAAGTAGAAAAAACTCAATGTGTCAGCTTCATTTGCATAATAAATAGCTTATTTTAAACTTTCACTTATTGTTGGAAAGTAGACGCACGGAGTCTTAAATAAGTGAGGAATAACAAGCGAGGGCTATCGACTCGGATCATCGGCTTTGAGGAAGACGAAGATGTCGAAACGTTAGCCGAAAATAAACATCATTATCAACCTCGTGTAAGCTCATCAAGGAAAGAATACATAAGTGAGGAATGTCCCTGTGTCAACTCAAAAAGGAATATGCGCGGCAACTAAACCATCAGTGAAAACTTAAAATTGAAAAGTCAACATGTTTCTTCCAGGACTTACTTATTAAAACACATAAGTTAGCATGCCCTTCTCCTCCTAGGTCCACCAACGCTTAAAAAGTCAAGTTTAGACCCACCATTAGCAGTGTCAAACCGAAATGTTTCTGGATCGCCTACGTGACGTGCCTCCTATCGGTGTGTCGTGATGAGGTCCTTCGACTTTACCGCACTTTATAATAAACGTATCGAATGACTCTGCAATGAAGGCCATCCGCAAGATCCTTATGCAACATGAAGATGAAATAAACATATATGACTCCTCGATTCAGCAGCTCATGGCCTTCTAGAATGATGCCTGAACTACTCAATCTCCAAACGCTCCACAGAATATTACGCACAAACAAGAGCGTTGGCAATGAGACATTGACTGGCACCAAGCCTTGCCGCACAAGAGGAGATCTACAAATGTTCTGAGTTGCTAAGCCAACACCCAAAGCAAATTAAGTTCATCCGAAAAGAACCGAAAAAAATGGCTTCCATACCTACCTGGAAACGGCTCCTTCACCAAGTGAAAACAAAAGCCGACTAGCAAAAAGGTATAATGGTTCACTGCTTCTCTTCGCACCTCCCACACCCCAAGACAAGCAAGAAGGGTGCTTGTAAGAAACATGTTTTGAACGGCCACCACTGTGTGCACAGGAAGACAGCATAAGGAAGAATCCCTGAAATTGGCGCAGCAGGTAGTCATTCCGAATGGCTTCGAAACGGTTTACTCCTGGATACGTTTAGAAGAAGGCCCATGCCTCTAAACAATGTGCCTAGCGAAAATGAGGTCGAGTTAACCTTTCTCTTCGTGTCTAACGAAATTAGTGCAGCTACAAAACGTTGCTTAAAAAGGAACGATTTAGAGAAATTAGCAGCAGTGATTGAAATACCACCGAACACTCTAAGACACAAGCTGGTTCGTTATCGCTTGTATGACCCGAAAGACCGACTTTCTATAAACCTCGGCATAGATAGGTGATATATTTATTTATGTGATCGTCTATGCGAAAATCATAGTTGCCTAATTTGACCCAGCGGTAAAGAAGGCGATTGCATGACTTTAGGTACAGTGTCCCTAATTTGTTGCAAAGCATATGGCAACGAATATATTGGAGAACTAGACCGCTTAACCGCCTTATAAAAAAGCACTTAGGTGGTAATTGTAAAGTAAAGCCGAATACCCTGCTATGCAGCTGAGAGGCAGGCGAAACGAAGGACATCCATGGTGTGGTGGTGAGCGTTACTCCCCGGAAAGAACAAAAGCGCGTTCGTTCCCTACAGCATACACCTGCGGTTTGGAGTTTTGCAAATATCTCAGCATCATTGAAGTTATATTTCGCAATATACCTTGTCATTAAAAAAGAATAGGCAGTAAATAATAAGTTAAAACTCTGCTATGTATTCAAAGAACGTAGACACATAACCTGGAATATTTTGAAGTGGAAGTCATCATCTTCGCACAGGAGCCTAAAACGGCAGTGCGATGAACTGCAGAGAAGCGTGCCTTGCGATCAACAGAGACCTGACGCCATACTTCAAGCTGATTTTTAAGCCTGACCCAGGGACATTCCTCACCCAGGTAAAAATCTGTGCTGTTCGTTTTCATCATTTTCTAGAATTTCTTTTATAGAATTAAAGGAACAAAACAGTGGGTGTTCAAAGAAGCAGCTTACTATGTGAATGAGATTTATGAAGAACTGAGTTTTTCTGCTTGGGAAGTGTATGGCTATGTAAACTGCTTGTCAATTTGATCTTCCCAAGCTCTGAATATCGTGAAATCACCGAAACTTTAGCCAGCATTGAATAGATCTTGTTATTAACAACCTCATTTCTGTTCGTGAAGAAAACACATACTTCAACTAATTCTTCAGAATTATGCAGAAACAAAGGGAACAGTAGCTTATACTACTCCTTTCAGGGACCTGTGTGCAGCATAGTGGTCAGAAGTGTCGTGCATTACACTCCTCGCATTTGGTTTGATCAAGTGCTCCAGTCAAAAAGTGATGTTCATAATTCCAGGGTCGAAAAGTTGGTACCAGATCTCCCCATCCGGAAAGATAAAAGCACTGACTTGCACAAATAGCTAAGCCCACGAAAGCCATCGAATAGGCGGAATATGCATGAAATCACCTACGCGATGCTTAATGGAGCGGAACGCATGTCACATCCCTGTGCAACTGGTCGTCCTCGTCCTCGAATGTTTAATTCTAATTTCTTTCACAGTTGTTGTTTTCAAAACACCAAGCCGTTTAAAAAACTTCTATCAAATTTCGAAAATCCAAGTTGAGCGTAACACTTGAAGGCCTTACGTACTTACTAGTTACCTAGTTGCAAAACATTTGAACTTTTATTTACTGCCTAATTTATTTTTTCGTGGAAGAATACGGAGTGAAATAAAAACAGTGAGATTCTGAGAAAAACTCGAAACCTCAACTGAGCTTCAAACCAGGGACTATCCTTAATAGTGGCTCACGTACTATCCATGACACCATTCCCACTGACGGGTAATTGCTGATAGCACGAACAGAATAAAATTACTTTGAAAATGACAGATAAGGAGCCTAGTTAAGCGTGATGCACAGCACTTGAGCTCCCACCTGGTAGGGGTAGTCATGAGCTCGAAGCCCAACCGAGGCTCTGTGTTTTGCTCACATCTCGGCATCCTTTTGATTGTATTAGTTACAAGATTTTAGTGGTGATCAAAGAGCAGAATCCAATCTTCCTACACTAAGACATTAATAAGTGTATATGCTTGAACACAACCACGAGAATACGGCAGGTGTTTGCCAATCCGACGCCGTAGAGACAATGAGCCTATCTCCTGTGACCGTCTGCATTTCACAACAAGTACAAGGTCAGCCAAAGTCCCCGTCAAACCCCTATCTATTCATCATCTAGGGATGACAAATCGCGTATAACCAGATCCGCCTCATGAGGGAAATTGTGGTAAGACAAAAACACACGTAAAAAGAGGTAAACAATAGAATAGGACTTCCTAGAAATTCTAGCTGAAACAGCACTAATAGAATTTGTGGTTATATCGAACCCGATATCAATCGGCGTGAACAACTTTTTGGTTTCACGTCGACTTCCCTTCCTATCCCTTTCAATTACCGTCTAGACTTTCAAATTCTTTTCTGAAAAGAAACATTCACCACTGGAGAGAAAGGCGAGGACAAAAACGGAGAAGATGATGCGCTTCGCTCTCGCTGTTTTTGCGTGTGCAGGGAAATTCGTTTCGGCACGTCAGATAATTTTTAGCGCACTCTCCCTGTTTGGTCGCATCTTTCCAAGGCGCATAAACAATAGCTATTAAAAAACCCTTTTGATTTTAACCATTGATTGATTCGATGGAAGCCCTTTTTGATTTTCAATCCTTTATGATCAATTTTTTATCTTATGAACGCCTTCTGCATAAAATGTTGTTCATCCACAGTTAAATTTCGCTTTACCGACGCTTAATTTGGGAATATTCCAAAAGAATCCATAGATCGAACGTTGCGATAAGAAACGGACGAGTTTTAGTGTGAAACATCACTAAGTTCGACAAAACTCGTATTTACTAAGGCAAGATTTACTCCTTTGAAAACGAACTGAGGTCTTTTGCTCACTTCCGAGCCAAACAATTTGGCTAAAACTAAACCAATTAGTGAAAATTTTGAGAGGACTGTATACAGATCTTCTACGAGTGTAGATATCTTCACGTTTTGACGCAGAGAAAATTTAATTCGATTTCTACCAAACTAAGTTCGCCTAGGTTTCTCATTTTCTGGTGGGTCCTAGCTGTGACTGTCGTTCCAGTCATGGCGACGAAATGTCAATACCACTTAGGAGAGGAGGCATGTATGTGGCGAATTAAGATTTCACAAAGATGGGATAAAAGAGCAAATCCTAAAAATTTAAACTTTTTGGATATTTCTCTTATGTTATTCAGTTTCGTTAGCTTCTACATTCGAGAGTAAGCACGACAGTTTGCTAGCTGCCAATAACCATTTTAGCTGTTCTGTAGGTGTAAGCACAGATACCAAAAAGCGATGGCGGGAACCTTTATTCCTTATGGCTTGAAAATACATACGCGTGTTCGGGAATTTGCTAAGTGGAAAAAGGTAATGCCGTTAGTTATAGTGGTTCCGCTATGTGACGTTCCCTGAAAAACAAGCGTGGATTATTGGTTACCGAACGGATTGCGTGATTTGGGTAAGAATCGCTCAACTACGCGCTGCATCATCTCCAAGAATGATTGGTGAAGAAATTGACCGATCCTGCGGTGGACAGTACAACGATGACATTGATGAGGACATGGACCCATTAGACGATGGTCAGCAGTGCAATGAAAATCTCGCATTTGATGCTGTGGCCCGCCATCACAGTGCATTGTAGGAAAGTCTGCACGGAGAGTTCACTCGATATTGAAGACCGAAGCTTCATAACTTCACTAAAGGAGTGGGATTTCAAACAGTGATTTCAGCAAATATCGCGAATAGGTGCAGGGCTTTAAATATTAAATTCGGCAAATATTGTCGATGTTGTGTTGAGTAATTTAGTTTACAACGTTACTACTATAATCTTCCTTTCGAGAAATGATTTCATAATGACTAAACCTCCAGGTAACGTTAGTGGCCACAGGTCACAACATAAGCCATCTTTGCGATTGGAAATGTTTTATGTATTTGTTTGAATTGAACATTACTACCACCCAACGGTTTACCACCTCATCGTGGCTGGGAGGTGTTCCTGGGTGTCGGACCTCTGGCAGGGCCTCCCAAGCTGAGAAAGAGTCCGGCGTTTTTATCAGGAAGCCTAGTTAGGAGTAGGCCAATACGAAGATCCACTACCGTTCTGGTAACAAAGTCGTATGGTGAAAATCTCCTTCTGATCCACAAGGGCTGCGACTACCTGTGGTGGTGAAGACCTAGGGCAGACTTCGGCCAGGCTGACCTCGGGATTCCAGGGAGCCACACTGGCTTAACCAACAAATCTTTGAGAAATGGAGATTATGCTGGGGCCTGCACAACCAGGGGCCGTTCAAGTATCAAGTACCAAGTAGAACATTACTTCGGAAAGAAAACATTTTTACAACATGGAGTCATAAGCTTAATGAGATCGTGCCATGATAAAGGCACTAGTAGAAAAAAGCATAAAAAATTAGAAATTAATACTGTAAAAGTCATGATTTCCGAAGCAATTTCAAGCCTAACTTGGTTTTCATTAGGGTCTATGCCGAAAACGTTTGCCAATTTTAAAAACGATTGATCTGAAAAGTGGTTCGGCTACTGGTCTCATGAACAAATTCTCATTCTTCGCTACTAAATTCATGAACAAATCCGGTACCCTTTAACAAATTCGAGACGATTCTGGTTTATCAATGAGGTATTTGTGGACTTGATAGAATCACGGAAGTAGCTATGAACTAACGCGCTTAGTACAAACAATCCATTTTCCTGAAGTGCTGTTTCGATTTTAAAATTAGTCGAGATTCAAGAGGTTAAATTTCCACAATATTAAACGCGCAGGGCTATCTGTAATGTAATCGGAGGCAGGTCCTACAGGACGAAATTACCCTTTTTGAATCGCTTTGCTGTTCGATGTACAAGTCCCAGACAAAACTATTGGTCACTGGAAGATGAGAATTTCATTGTGTTAGAATAACCTAACTCAAACATAATTCGAAAATATTGTACCAACTTTAACAGCTACTTTTAATATTTCTTGTTGAGATGTGTTCGTTCAAAATTGAAATTTTAGGCTACCTTAAGCAAGCACGAGTCACATATGCTTCATATGAGCCAAAGTTGCACCACTTTTAAAGTGGTTCATTCAACTTAACGGATAATTCGTTGCGAAAAGCAATAATCAAGCGAGGCCCATCAGAGCATATAGGCCACCGCACTTTGGTATCAAGATCGGATTGGGAGTGGAACTAAGCACTTTTCAAGCCAATTCCACATTTGATTTAATCGTAGTTGTTATATTCTCTATCTATAATAACAATACTCTGCTGTGAAAGCGAATAGGTTGCGCTTGTACCTGATGTTACATGGGAAACCGGTTCGGCGAGATGAAACGTGGTGTGGATCCCTTCTGAAACACGCTCTTCTCTACAGGTCCACCAAACAAAAACCAGTTCGCGAAGATCACCGAAGGATTTTGCGAAGAAAAAATTTCCAAGATTCATAAAAATCATTAAGCTTGACTTCGAGTAGACCTAGTACTAATCTTGTCTTATCTACATGTTTTTTTTTCTTAAGAAAACATCCAATCGAAATACATGGAGTCTTCGTGCCCCGTATTTCGGCATAAAAATTACAATTTAGGACGTGAGGTACAAGGGTAAAACGATGAAGTTCTTAGCGTTGATCAATCTCTGCGCCATGCATTCGACTTCATTAAGCATCGTTGGAGGTGATTGAATGTATATCTGGCTCTAACAATGAAACGCTGTAGCCTAGTGATGTATCGAGTTAGTGTTACCAACTTTCCAATCAGATCTGGCACCAATTTTGCCGATTGTGGAGGGATGGGAGGCATGGTGAGCCTGTGGAATGGGATCAATCCCATGTGCATTGTAGGGCGCTTCTAACCACAGGGCTACACGAGCCCAACGTGAGGTAACTGACTTAAAAGTATTAGAAAAGAACATTGTTGAAATAACTAACAGACAAACCTCTCAGTAATCGCTAGTTTGTGCTTCTACACACCTCAACACAATGGTCAAGAAGATGCTTAAACGCAACACCTTATTGTCCCATCAAACATGGAACTTAAAAAACCACTGTTTTCTCTGAAATCTTTTCCATACCAGTTGCAAGGGATGCAAGATGATATTTGTTCTGCTTCATTTCAAACTTCATTGGAAAGCTCAGAAATTTCAAGAAAACAACCCTATTCTGAAATTTAGGAATTTAGCCCTTTTAGATTTATTTCAGTCGTTTCAAATTGGAGGAAGTGTAGCCATCAAAGCAAAAACAAATGAGAGAGTGATAGCAAACACAAGGTATCTGGTGACTTGTGAGAAAATATTACGGTCCATGAAGTGTGTTGGACAAAGAATTTACAAGAAAATTGGCCAATCTTGGAACGGTACTTACTGATTTTTCGAGATTTGAGTCTAAAATTTTGGTAATAAGTGATAATAGGAATGATAATGTTGATAGAAAATAAAAGCAGATGGATGCTTAGAGCAAGTCTGCGTAGAACTGGATAATTCTTCGGCCTAGAATACTCGTTTCGAGATTTTCATGCTTCATTCGCATTTCATCAAAAATAAGTGTTTAAACGAGGGAAATGTGGATTCGATAACTGGATGAACTATGAGATCATGAAAATGATGAAAGGGAGAGGAGAGCACATGAAATCGGAAGTAAACACGTGCATTTGAAAATCGAGAGCAACATTACAGCACCCTTCAATTTTGCATTCCTTTCCTTAAGTCCACCCACTTTTTTATCGGTTGTGCACTGAGTCCGTTTCGGACACATTCTTGGACTGGAATAAAACAAAAAAGCCACTAGCCGGTCTAAGAGGAAAGAATATCGCTATTATCCACGGTAGAAAAAAATATACAAGTAAAATTTATAGGTTCACTCCTTCTTTGTCCTTGTCTTGTCATTCAAAGAGGATAAAAGATGTAGCCGGTAAAACGATTGGTTCAAAGCACAACACGGACAACGCAAACCAAAGTTGAACAAAAACCGCCTGCTTTGTTTTCTCCGGAAAAAAGCCAAAACTCAGACTTGGGGCAAAAACTACTTTGGACAATGTCCGAAAGTATTGCGTACACAACTTTTCCGGTATTGTACTAGTTTAAAGTCATCACGACGAGATGAAGAAGAGGAAAACCAATAGTGAGCCAATTTCTTAGTCGGGTGAAAAATAAGGCGATCAAAAGAGAGAACCCGACGAAATCTACATTTAAAATGGTTCGTTTCACAAACTTCACACAAGAAAGACCGAACAAAAATAAAAATTCAAGAAGATCAACACCAGTGACGGCAAGCCGTAGACGACGACAGAACAAGCCGGAGATTGCGAACGAACGTTAATAAATCTCACGCGTCAAACGTCATGCGCATTTGTGGAAAACCCAAACTCGATTGTTTGAGCTGCTTAGGAAAACACTCGAATCAGACACGAACACAAATCATGAGCTTCCGAGTGGGAATCGGGAATTCCAAAAGGCGCTAAAAATTCAGCCATATTCAATGTAGCATTAGAGAAATCAGTAGAAAAAGACGGAAAAAATCTACAGTGGTTAACCATCATATCACGTCAACTCGGCTATCGGAAGAAAAACGGTTACATCACACAACACTACAGCAAAAAGCGGTCGTTTCAAGTGTCCATTATGAACAAAGGTATACGAAACGATTAGGACAGGAAGTAGGTAAGCAGCTGTGTCTGGTATCGTTAATTTCGAAGATGAGCAACACTAGCGGGAGAAAACCTCAGCACAAAAAGAAGATCAACGTTTAAAACGTTACTTTTTATGGGCGATTAGAAAACAGTTTCAGAAGGCGCACTTAAGAAAAAAATTGGAAAAAATAAGCTCTTCGTTTCCCGGAATCCAATGTATGGCGCTGACTAATCATTGGGCATAGGATAAGTACGGAGACGTAGCTCGCAGTATTCTTACTCGCCTCTTATGGGCCTCAGGGAACACAACAGCTAGATCGGCCAGAAGAATCTAGCCCATATAATTTTGAAACTGACCGCCTTTTAACCTCGGCAGTGAAATGCTGTAAAATGTAAAATGGAGAGGGATGCTCCACTGAGGAAGATCCAGCTAGGTGCGAAGCGAAGACGCCACTTCGAGGGCACAATCACCTGTGGACCATCGACTCGGATCATCAGCTTTGATAAAGGTGAAACCGTCGAAACCTTAGCTGACTAAACACCATTATCAACTTCGTGTAAGCTCTACATTATAAACAAAGTCCATATATTTGAATAAGTTATGTTTCGTATCGAAAGTACGCTATGTGTGTGATTCTAACAACTTTTGGGACCTTTTGATATAAGGACGTGTGAACTTGGTAACAAAAACAGTGTCAAAATAAAAAATGCCAATGATTTCAGTTTATTTTCTCCGTTCGGTCGGTGCTCCATTCCAGGCACTTCGGCTCGGTGCGACAAAGAATACCCACATCGCGAGGATGAGCACCTACGGATCATTGGCTTGGATCAATCCAGTCCTAAAAAAGACAAAGACGTCGGAACGTTGTCCAAATAAACTTTTTAGTCACATTATATTAGCTTAATAATTCAAGAGGCTATTAATCTCAAAGTTGTGCAGAAGTGTAGGACTTCAGCTCTCTCCTACTCACTATTCTGCAGACCTCCAACGTCGAACACTCACTGAACTGTGATTTCATGAATTTTACTTCTTTACCTTCCTTACAATACTATATGCTAAAGATGAAAATCAGGAAGTGGAACTCTTAGCGGAAGTGGGCTTCAGATAAAATTGGAAAACCTGATTTACTTTATTAATAGAGGAACTAAATGTGAAGAAAAACGCCGAGCGCGTTCATTAGGGAATTTGCTCATCTATTTGAAGGTTTTTTGTGTTCTGGAAATAATAATACACAAAGCATTTTCTTATTATTGAGGAACGTGTTGCCTGTAATCAGTCACACTTCTCTGTGACTGGCTATACACGGCAATGTTTTCAAACTTTGTCGCATTGCTCATTTCTCGCTCACAATACATCTAAAACGAGGGTTAGGAATAAACTTTCAGTTTGATAACCAATACCATCAGAACAGTACTAAACGCAAGTGGAAATCATTTCATGCTAATGAACAATCCTCTTGGAGGGCGCGCGTGGCGCAATGGTCGGAGGCGTCCTGCAACAGACACGTAGAATCGATTCCCGTGCCCCAGGCTCACCAAGCCCTTTATCACTCCAGGGTCGGCAAATTGCTACCTGACTTGTCTAGGAGGATAACAGCACTGGTTCGATACATCGGTAAGCCACCGCTCGTTATTCTAAAGGCCAGATATGCGTACAGTCACCTCCAAACGATGCTTAATGAAGTAGAATGCATGGAGCATCCCTCAGGGATTGATTTACACCGAGAGCTTTATCCTTGATCCTTTATTTTCTCTTCTTGGAATGATTTAGTGCAACCGCTCACTGCGCAGAACCACTCACCACTCGAGCGGTAGTGGAATGAAGTGAGGGTGCATGGTATGAGCATAGCAGCAGTACTCAAGAAACGATAAAAAGATCTGATCGATAAGGATTGGTCACCGAAATGAATCATTGGAACCACGATTACGATTAGAACTTTGGAAATCTTCCACTTCAGGTCATAAATATAAAGCATGAAGCGTTCGACATTGATCGATACCAAGCAATGTCCACTAGCAGTTTGTCAATTTCGGAGAGATGAAAGGCTAGGTTCTGCGGGATCACGGAATCAAACGACAAACACGTAAGTAATATTTTCTTGCATAATTAAGTAAATTGAGTTTTGAAGACCAAAATATTCGCATAGTTTCCACAAGGTTTTCATACCACATTAATTTTGTTCTATTGTATTTCTGCATTGTTTTGTTCTCCAGCATATCTGCACTTTCGCCTTGTCGGACGACTTCGTCTTATGTTTCAGCTACGTTTTTCTTCATTAGTAACCACCTAAACCAAGCCTGCACCTACTTCGAACTTTCTTAATATATTGATTTAGCATGTAGAACACTACAATATACATGTCTCACCAGTTGCCAATCTATGACTTACCCCGAAGCAGCGGCGCAACAATTCTGGAGCGGAAGTGAAGCTATACGTGTTGGGTACGAAGGGCTTAATTCTTTGTGCTCCACATGAGTAAGCTTATCTAGCAGTTCTCGAGCAAATCTGTGCAACTAATGAAAAAAATTCCGAACTAGATTTAAAAATGGATGTCAAACTACAGTGCATAAAAGTACCAGATAGTCGGAATCTTAGACGTGATGATCAACAAAATGCTTCATATTTAAACTCATCACCGTCGCACATTCATTGCAGTACCGCAATTCTGAATGGCTACAGACGTTTGGGAATTAATCATTCCTACCTTAATCATTGTTGAGACGCTTCTTCTAAAATCACACAAACGCTAAGTTATTGTTCATTAGTCTGTAATTAGATGAGTTCCTGATGTTATATAGCGTGGTAGATGGTGCGTGGTTATGTTTGTAGCGTTAATGATGTTCTTCTCAAGGAGCCGCCTTATTGGCCGTGACGTCAAGTTTGCACTAGTTTGGTGAGAGTTATTATCTGTTTCAGGTCTACTATTTTTATACTAACTCTAATGTAATGAATAGTCAATGTGCGAGACTAGAGCTGAAGTACGATGATGCTACTTCAGAAATTAAAAATTTTCCACAAAACCTTACAGGAATAGGATTTCACATTATTTGTACGATTATATTGACGACCTTTAGTCCTTTAGACGACCTAAACTCGCCTTAGGAGAGTGGTCACACGTTATAGCAACTATCCCCGAAATAGTTACTATTTCTTTCTATTACTGCATGTTTTGTAGTAAGGATCAGATCTACTGTTTCTCAAGTTGCCTGGCAAATGTCGTAGTACGTAAATATTTTGATCCCATCCTAAGGAACTTCGTATAGAGAATTCCTCTATCAAAATTCCCTATCTACCTAGCATACACATTCAATGGGTCGATGGAGACGGCCTATGCTACAACACCACTAGACACAGCATCACGTGGCCATCGGTCACACCACCGAGCACACTGCCGGGTACGTCTCATTGCTGTGGGCATGGTCCTGGCGACCTGTGCCTTGACGCTACCACCAACGACTCGCTTAGACGTAGCCACGCCCGGACTAGCACCGCTTTTTTTGGGCTTCGCAAGAACTTTAGGAGTCTTACGTTCGACTTGATTGCCTTGTTCTTACGCCAGTATTCTTCCATCGTTATTCCTGTTTTGGTGTTGCGTTTATGTATATAAAGATTTAATTCCAAGTTTGAGTGTCGAAAGGTGTTGCCCTGTGTCAACTACGAAAAGTCCCGCGTGGCGTCTTCTCACGAAGTCGAGCATTCGCTATATAATGACTTCCTCAATGTCCTCACGTCAAGAGGCTTTAACATGAGCTATTAACCGTCTCCTAAGTAATCTTGACGATAGTGAAAACTTAGCATTGTCCCAAATAGAGCTTCCCTATGATGAAGCCGACCGCATTTCGTACGTCAATACGCTAAGGAAAAGGATCACAGATGCAACTCTCGCCATCCAGTTCGAAATGGAAAATGTCCAGACAGCACTGGATCATCTTGATTCTAATATCTCATCAATAGATGATGCACGTGAGAGAATTAATGCAAACACCGAAAAAACACTTGAGCTACTTGATAGAGCGACACGTTATCTCTTCAAGTTTTTCAAACTAAAGAAAACTTTAGAAGATGCGAAAGACAACGTTTCAAGTAGCACAAATTTTAGTTCCCCAGCAGTAAACCTGCCACCTAGCGCTACCCCAAAATTCAACGAAAAACCATGGGAGTGGGACACATTTTGGGAAGCGTTCAACCACCCAGTGCACTCACAAGGAATGGACCACTTCTTGAAAATGAACTATTTACTAGATTCTCTTGAAGAGAAAACGAAAGCTTTCGTTAACCAATACAGAATAACGCGAGAGTCCTACCAGATGGTTATCACTCATCTAAAGAATAAGTACGGTAACAAACAAGATCTCATAGACGAACTACTCAACAGTGTACAGACGACCAAAGCGAACAGCGACCGCCTTGAAGATCAGCAGACATTGTGCAAGCATTTGTTCTCCGTAATGAGCCAATTGGCACACAATGGAGAATTTGTGGACGCCACGCACCTATAAAATCAACTTCTTACGAAATTTACGAGAGATATTCAAAGACACGCACTGGATCAAAGGAGTCGAGAGTCGGATAAAACATATGAAACCGAGGATCACTTAAAGTCTATCAATGAATATGTAAGCAAGGAGCTCAAGATACAACAACAACTGAGCAGAAACGTCAGCATTACATCAGATTTCAGCGGCACTATAAATAGACCCCTACGGCAGCCTTTTATGCCTCAAACCCACATGGCCACAACCAGAATTTACCCATGTTTCTACTGTGAGACGAGGTGACATTTCCCAGTTGACTGCAAAGGAGTGCGAACGTATGAAGAAAAAGTGCAGATTAAGAAAGATCGGAACCCTTCCTTTAACTGTGGTTCAAAGTTTCACCAAACATCAGCTTACGTCTATTTGTAAGCAGCAACAACCGTCAAAAGAACAGCATAATCAATCGGAAGTAGGCCAAAGAGACAAACAAAGGCGGCCTGTCAACACCACTAAAAGCAAAAAGACTGCGCCATCAAGAATCAATACAGTAAGATCCCAACAGAACTATCAGAACGATCATACTCCACCGTATCGGTCATACTCCACGCGATGAAAGAAGATACAACGAATGTCCAAGTATTGGCAGGAGAAGCGGGAATCTCCAACCCATTCACTCAGACAAGCGAGCCAGTACGTCTTTTGCTTGATACAAGATCCGATCTTTCATTCATCACCAATGAACTGGCTGAGCGTCTTCATTTACGAAATATTGATTCCAAAGAATTATCCATTAACACATTCGGATTTCTTCGGGAAGTGAAAAAGAACTGTGGAATTACCGTAGTAAAATTGTAGGATGTCTATGGAACACGACATGAAATCACAGTAACTAGGATCGAGACCATCACAAAACCACTAAAACGTATACGTCTCAGCCAAAAGGATAAGAAGTTCCTCTGTTAGAATAATATTGAACTGTCGATCGATCCTGACTGTAACAGCGTACGCCCACAAATCCTGATTGGATGCTCTGATGTATTTTCTCTATTTGACGGTAACCTAGGACCGAACAAAACATTACCATCGGGGTTAAGGTTAATTCCCTCTAAAGTGGAATATCTCGTAGTAAGAGCCAACCACAACAAGTGGTACATTCAATCACAAGAAAGTACACTCCTTGTCACAGAGACTACGGCACCCAATCCTCAACCTTATGAACAACAATCATGGGGAGACTTTTGCACACTAGAATCATCAGGAATCAACGAATTTACAGGATCGAATTTAAAAGAACAAGAGCAGAAAAATGCTGAAATATGGAAACAGTTTGCGAAAACTATAGAGAGACGTGAGGATGGTTACTATGTGAGACTTCCGTGGAAGAACGATTCAACCACACTCCCTGAGAACAGATGCATGGCATTTCGGCGACTACAGGCGACAATCGCCACTCTAACGAAAAATCCTCCCTGCTAGAGAAATATAACGAGACCATAATACAGCAACTAAACGAGAACATTATTGAGGAAGTTGACGAATCGATACGCCAACAAGGTGTAATTATTCACTACCTACCGCATCACGCCGTAGTAGCTCCACATAAGGAAACCACAAAATTACGAATCGTTTACGATGCATCAAGTATTAACACCCTCATTAAACGATGTTCTCCACCAAGGACCAGTCTTCCTTTCTCGAATATGCGATATTCTACTTCGTTTTCGTATAGGAAATATTGCAATGATTGCGG